ACAAACTTCATTTCCTACATAAAAGTCTTCCATTTGTTTCTGCTATTTTCTTTCCATTTCCCCCTTTTTAAAATTTTACATTTTATTCACTGTTCTATAAAAAAAGTTAATCAACAGTCTGTGTATAAATGTTTGTGTGTGTTTGTGTGTGCACAGATGGTTCCATTCCGTGGTCCTATCTCAGGTGGACTGCAACCTGGGAAGAAGTTGGTGGTTTTTGGGATTGTGGATCCTTGTCCTGACCGGTGAGTTTTTCCTCCTCCTCCGTCCTTTGAGACGATCTTACGTTCATAAACCTTGCAATCATTTTGTCTTTAACTCTCTCTCAGTGTCTCTGTAAATATGTGTCTGTTTGTATTTCCATCCATCCATCCATCCATCCATCCATCCATTCTTCCAGTTCTTTCCTACTGTAGTGACGTTGTTTTCTAATCGTTCTCTGTTTATGTGTTATTTCCTGTCTAGGTTCTACCTGGCGCTAACGTGCGGTTGTGGAACGTCCAGAGCGCCACCTCCTAATGTAGCTCTGGAGCTCTGTGTCAGATTCAAGGACCGTCAGATTCTGCGACGGGCCTGTACGTCTGGGTCATGGGGCGACGCGGAGCGAGCTGTGCCGTTCTTCCCTTTCATCAAAGATCTGCCGTTCAAGGTCTTGTTACTTCACCCACAACGTTCTGCACTCACTGAACTAAAATATTAAAAAAAATCTTTTTTTTTAAATTAAATCTTTGTGGTGTAAGAAAATATTGATACAGTAAAATATCACAACATTTTGTTTCACGACACCGTGTCGACATTTTTCAAAATTAACAACTAACCGTCAAATATACATTGGTTTATTTTATTTTGCCGTTTATTGTGCCATCGTATCAGTATGTGCAGAAGGACAACCGTTCTGTCTCTGTGTCTCCACAGATGGAACTCTTCTGTGAAGTGGGTCGGTTCCGTGTCCTTGTGGACGGACAGCAGCTGTTTGATTTTCAGCACAGAATCACGTCACTGCCTGACATTGACACACTGTGGATCAAAGGCAGCGTTGGTATCACCAAACTGGCCTGAAGGGGGTGACATGCTGTACAAAGACTGTAAATACTGTAGATACTTAAAAAAAAAAAAATTAAATAATGAGGTGATGACTTCACATTTCATTGAAATCCACAGTTAGTCAGTGTTAATTCTGGTGTGAACGGAGCGTGAATTTTACGTGAATGCTGGTAGAGTTTTAGGTGTAAACTACTGTGAATATAAGTGTGAATATATATGTATAAATATATATAACATACGTATGTATATATATGTGTGTATATATACATATATATACACATATATATATGTGTGTGTGTGTATAGGAATATAGGAATGAATGTATAGGAATGGAGTTCTTCTAATTGGATTAAGATGATGTAACATTGATGAGGTCATTACAGACGTCTTCCTCGATGGTACATACATGTCATTAGGTTAACAGGGAAAATTAGCAGAAATGTGAGAGGCATTTGGGGGAGAGGGTTGTTTTGATGTTGGCCATCTGGTGACCATGTAACTTGTAACCTTTCCGCCGGTGTCAGGTCCTCCACTCAACCCTACAGAATAGATGCTGTAGATAATGTATGGACTCAAACCATCCACCTTTAATATTTCAGCACCCATCTACTCCGCCCAGCCCCCCGCCCTGTCCACCCGATGACAGTGTTGATGAAAAATTCATCAGATGTCACCAGACATAATGGACCCTTAGCCAAAGTGATGAGTCCACAAAGACACACAAACGTTTGGTCAAAGGTTGAGCAACAACGTTTCTGCTTGTATATATATAAAGAAGAACTGGTCGTAAAAACAAAACAAACAAAACCCACGAAAAAAAACCTCACTGAAACACAGAACACAGAAAGATGAGGGTTTAGCCGTTGTTTTGGTTTATTTTTATCTAAACCCCGTGAAGATCTACTTTTTTTTAATCGTGGTTTTTATGTGTATTTTCTGGTTATTTTTGCAGTACCTTGATTTGGCCCAAAATACATATGTTAGCGAAAGAAACTGAAGAGCAGAGCCTCTGATCAGAATCAGGTTTTATTTACAGACAGCTGTTTGGAAATGGGATTATGAAAAACCTTTAAAAAATACTGTACAGTTCATTTCTGGCTTAATCTGCTCCCAAATTATAACTGTTTAATTTTAGTAACTGGAAATTAAAAAATCCAAACAAAAAAATCTAAAGTCAAGTTTTAAATGCCATATATTCATAAACATATAATAGTAAAGTAGAAAAAAAAACTTACGTTCTAGCTAGATTTCCCATTGTGATATACATTTGAGTTCTGAATTGTTTAATGGAATTATAAAAATATAAAATAAGACACATCAGAGCTTTTAAAAAACATTAAAGAACAAAATTATACAAACACCTGCTACAGCCGAGGAGGCAGGTTAAAAAAACAAAAGCTTCTATACTCAACCCTCTTTTCTCCCGATGTAAACGACCTGAGAACTTTCTCAAAACCATAGATGGTTCCATAGATCTGGGGGGGAGATCAGGAGACCGTAGTCCTCACCACAGGACCGTTGTCCAGATTCTATTTGTAAGAATGTAATCCTGATCGTGAAGAAAGTAATGCTAGTCAAGCTAACGTGGTTCTGATCAAAGAATGTTGCCCAGTCTACAGAAAAGTGTGATCCTGGTCAGGAGGATGTGGACTTCCTGTTGAGGTCAGGAGGTTTCCTGCCAATGTTTTCCCCTCTGCTGTGGTGATCCATTTCACTCCTGGTCCTTGTCCTTCTCCTCCAGCAGAAACAGAAAACCAAAGATGAAATCTCTATCATCTGAGTTCTTCAGGGTTTTTTTTGTTTTCATCTGAGAGTCCAGTTCTGGTGCTGATCACATCAACACTAAACATCTAGAAAGATTTCCATCTGATGGCAGACAGGATGGTGTGGATGAAGTAGAGCAGAGTGGCCACGTATGAGAACACCTGAGAAAGAAACGGGAAACTCAGATCTCAGTCTTATTCCTTAAAAAAGGTCAGTCTGGAAAATACTTGACAAAATACAAGACAAAAGAAAACAATACAGATACAAAGACTAAACAATCTTGCATAATGAAAAAATAATAATAAAAAATATGCAAATAAAATACAAGACAAAAGGAAACAATACAGATACAAAGACTAAACAAAATAAATCTACGAAAAATAAATAATTCATAGACCAAAGAGTTATTTCTAATTAATACCGGCAGATGGTGCTGTTGGACTCACCACAGCTGAGATGTCCAGCTGATAGTTCTTGAAGTTTGACTTATCTTTCGCCTCCAGAGTCACTTTGGCCAAAGCCACAGAGGCACTAAGGTAGAAGAAGGCGGCAATGAAGTGGTAGATGAAGTCCTAGAAGACGGAGAGAAGAAGAACACGGAGAACACAAGGGACAAGCCTTCAGTTTTGGACCTCGTACATTTACAGACATTACTGATTATCTGACAGCTGTCATTTGTCTCCACCTACAGGTACCAGGGTGTAAAAGCATCACATCCCAGACCTAATTGACATGTCCACCAATCTGTGGTGTTACTCACAGCTGCTGCCCAGCTGCTGCGGTTGTTGTGTCCCCCGCAGGCAAACACCATCGTCCAAATGAAGGTCATGACGAAGCAGAAGACAGAGACAAACATGACCCAGCCCTGAGGGTTCTGTGGCACCACCAGGGTGCAGGCCACCAGGATCCAAACCAGACCACCAAAGATCTGCAGAACAGGTAAGACTCAGGCTTTGAGTCAAAGAAGTGCATCCACATACACACACACAAAAAAAACTAAAACAAACAACATGCAAACAAGGGCTATTGTTCAACAGCTCCCTCCTGTGGACACTTGAGATAAATCAGGTTTCTAAAACAAATGTAATCACAGTTTTGATAACCAAAAAGATACGAATGATCAAAATTATCAATGGAAAACAGTCTATTGGGTGTTCATATATAAAAGAAACATTCCGAAAAATATTATTTGTTTTGTATTTTAAAGCCCAGATCAGGAGGATCAGTGTTTCAGTGTAGAAGGCTCGGTCTAACATGAGCAGGACAGACAGCTCATATGTCCGCTGCTTATTCAAACTAGCATTTAAAATAACCCCGCAGTATCACTACGAGCTCTTTGTTGTTGTTGGACGTCTCCATAATTCTGTCCTCGCTAAGCAGGATGTCTTTGTTCACATGACACCTGCGATGATGGACAGACTGCATTATTCACAATGCCACGCCCACCCGCTGTCCTCTGCATTCATCGGTGTTTACACCTTGTGTTTGTCTGCTGGAGCGTAACCACTGCGTAGTGTAAAAGTGTCCCGAGTTTGCAAAGAATTGTCCCAGCAGTGTCGACAACTGTCCCGCAGTAACACGTATATTATCTAATAGAATAAATGTGTCGCCAGTGTAGATTATTAAACCATCCAATCAGTGTGTGACAGAGTTAAAAAAAAAAAAAAAACAAACAAAAAACATGATAAACTTGCCATGTAAAGTAACTAATCACACACCAGGTAAAAATCGTGTTTTATTTTAAGGGCATTTAATGCAACACCCGGGGAGCAGTAGTGCAGGCTGTACAGTCTGAACGTATGAGAAACGTGTGTGTTTCCGTTGAACCGACTGACTGTATTTTCAATTTTTAAAAATGAAAGTCCAAGTTGCCAAGTTGATGATTTTAGTCCATCTATTAACGCGACGCAACGACAGAGTTTACAGCCGCTACGAGAGCACGACTGTTCCGTCGCACTTAATAACTGTAGTTTGAGTGACTGAATCCAACGCTAAATTGTATACTTAATAACTGTAGTTTGCGTGAGTGACTGAATCCAACGCTAAATTGTCTTTGTCAAACCGCCACCGCAAATAATAATAATAAAAACAATCTGCGCGTAAAAGTACCCAGTTACGCACAGTGCGTAAAAATCTCCATACACATGACTTAGGTTTGTAGTAGGTAGTAGTCACCACTGTCATTCTGTGGTAGTTAGTGTATACCAGGACTAAAGTAACAGGACCACCACGGCGTGTACTGTGGAAGTGTCCCGCGGCTCCGTGAACCTGTCACGGTCGTGCGTAAAGATGCCCTCGCGCAGAGTAAACGCCACAGCACGGGAAAGTATCTCCCCCAAATAAAGAAACCGTATCTTACTCGTGCATTAAAGTGACTAATTAGGGTCACTAATGTGCAAAAATACTAATAAAAAAATACTAATAAGTTGACTTGGCAACTGCTACTGTCTGTAAAACTGTGCGCAAAAGTTCTTGCTTACCAGTTCTGGGAGATAGAGGATGTCAGGGATGGTCGTACATATTTTTCCTCCGCTGGGGAGGTTCACCAAGGTGGCGGTGTTCGAGGCCATGCTGCTGCTGTCACTGCTGTCACTGCTGACACTGATGACACTGATCCTCAGACCCACAGCCGCTGCCGTATCAAGCAGTGAACGCACCATGAGGCGAGGGCAGAGAGAGACACACCCGGCCGCGCGCACACGCACAGGTCAGCGCTGAAACACCGACAAATCAAGGTTTAAACGTTACAAGAGTGACTCATTAGTTACCACAGAGACCAGCAGTGACGACGACAACAACAATAACAACAACAACAACAGACAGGCCGAGTGTTTTTAAACAAGAATAACAATGGCGACGAAATGCATTTCTTTGGAAAATGGCGCCAATTCAGAAGAATATTTAAGTTTAGATTTAATAAGAGCAGCTCAACGTTGACCAGAAAAGCTTTATATTAACTAACTGTGCTAAATAACTATTAGGCGAATCAATAACTTAGGTTTATAAAATATGGAAAACAATGTTAACTAGCCTGTAAGCAACAACTGGCTAGTAGTAGTTACAGCGTAACCAAATGCTAACATTTGCCAATTTGCCATCAGAAGCAGCTAAAAGTTGCCAAAAATACAACAAGTAAAGGTCTAGAAATAAACTTAAGTTCACCACGTGTTTGGTGGAGGTTCACCAATGAGGCAACAACAAAACTAAAAGGCTTCAAAATAAAGCTAGAAGATGTTTTGCAGGAAAGCTAGATTTGCTGAATTCTTGTGGGCTTATTATTAATATTATTATTATTGTTTTTGGACATGAGATGGGCAGAACGACAGGACATGGTCAACACCAAGACTGGGTTTTTATCACCAAGACCGGAGGATCAGGTGGCACCGTAAGGAAACTGGATCCTGCTGACAGATTATGTGAGGTGTTTGTCGACAGCTTTGCTGCTCCACTCTGCCAAACCCAGAGTTACTGTTGCCGTGTTTGCTTTCTTCACAGTGAGAGGTGTGAAAAAGACACACGATATTAGAGACTGTGGGTCAAAAAAAGATGCTCAGACACAGATAACAGAGACTCCCTGATGAAGAAAGAGTCATGTGTTTGACCAGTGCCAACACAGGACAAATTAGCTAAGGCTAACCATAAAATTGGTAGCTAGAAGTCAACACAAAACAGTTTAAAACGAAAGGACAAATCACAATCGAAAATATCTCTGCATTAGCCTAAATTAGTCTAAAATGCAACCAAAAATAATGTAGAAATTATCAATAGTGAATGGGCAAACCCAGAAAACAATTTACTGCTATGATCTGAAGGCAAAAGTTTTGCCCAAACATCCTTTAAATTTGTCAAAAAATTAAATTAATGGCAACTTACAGCAAGTTAAAAAAAAAAGTTAAATCAATAAACAAGAGAAAGCTAAAGGTTAGCTTGAAAACCAACAGATACTTAAAGATATTGTATATTTATTTATTATATTATAGCTATAGTCATATTTTCTCTATTCACTCATATTTGCCTATTATACATTTGAATGATTTGAATGATTATTTTAATTATGTTTATTTTTCACATCTCCTAATTTGAACTTTATAGGTGTATAGATGTTGTGTTGGCAGCAGGTCTGTCACCGCCTCAATGTTCTCCCTGTGGAAGAATGTGGGAGCAGTAGTGAAGATGTTCTTCTGGTCTTATGGTCCGTATGTTTACAAGAATCTGCCCTCTGTCTCTGGTCTGTCAGTGGAACCTGATCTTATCTTCAATTATTCACTGTTCACACTTCAAATACACTGCTGCTCTTCTAACTGTGCAGGGCATGTCTGCCGAATAGGAACAGGGACACAGGGGGACATCTTTGTTGCAGCAGCATAGAATTTCACAGTTTTGAAGATAATATAAGATTAAGAATTTCACCGTTTTGAAGATAATATAAGATTAAGAATAACTTAACTCTATCAAAAAAAAAAAGTCAAGGATTCAATTATTTGTCCTTTCAGGCTCTAAACCTGCAGGTTATCTGATTTTTTTCCTGTCATTCTATTATTTCTCTAGCAGAGGAATCTGGTTTTGCTTCTGTCAGCTGTGCTTTGTGATGGAGCCAGGAGTTGACATTCCTCGGTTTATAAATGACATGTTTCCCTGCTGACCTGTGCCAGTCTTCTGCACTTTCCACTGAGCCACAGCCACAGAATTCTCCTCACCTCTAAATATTCTTCAAATATTATTTTAATATTATATATAATATAAAATTTAAAATTTAATTATTTCTGGTGTTTTGACCATCTTTCTACACACATTTTTACACCACATTACACTTACTATTACACAAAACAGATATTTAAATCAAATAAATAGTTT